TTGGGTCTTGCGAAGAAAAGGGGCTGGACATATTGGACTGAGCCTTTATATATATATATAATTATATATATATAGGTTTGTACAACGCTCCAATTATACCTCCTGCAGAGAGGAACTAAGCTCATCAATCTCCATCGAACTCCTGTAAAAGTGCACATGAGGTACCGCGGTCATGTTCATTCATGCTACCGTACTAACCGTACTTCCTACTACTTTTTCTGCCATGTATTATATGACCGTCCTTGGGACCTCCCGGCTTCGGTGTTACGCTGCAGGAGCTTCTCAAACAGCTTCAGCGGCTCCCATCGCCGCCCTGCACCAGCGCCTATTACAGCGTGGTGCGTGCGTGCTGCCGCTCCCTGGTCGGGTGAACGGTCGGAGAGTCCCCGGCACCGGATTGGTCGGGTGAGGCCAACCGAAGCAGAGCATGGGGCCCGGTGGTTTAGGGTTTAGGGCCTGGCCGTCCGACTTGGTTTGCAATGCAGTTGATGTGTGATATTGTCACATGTTTATCCATAGGGAGTTCAGAGGTCCATGGATAGCCATGTAGATTTGCTGGTTAGCCTCGGGCTGCTCCGAGGCTGCAAACAATATCCCACCGCTCTCCAGCTGCTGCAGCAAATGGAGAAACATGGCGGCTCGGCCATGGCGGCTTTGGTCGGGCTCCAGGTTTTTGACCCATCCATACCCATCCCCATTTGGACCAATATGGTCAATCCACGGGTAGTTTGTCATGGTTTGTCCATGTTTGTCCCTATACAAAGAGCGACCAACTACAGCACGAACTGTGGACCTTTCCTTGTCCCAGGGGTCATAGAGTTCAGAGGGTTAAACATGTAAAGATGTTTGCAAAGCTTTCTCAGGCCTAGACATGTGCCATGATGCTGTGCCGGGCTATGGCGGCCATGTTTTGTTTGTTTTCGATATTTCTTTGGGGGAACCCTGGCCAGATGAGGATCCGAGTCACAGGTCAGATCTCCCTGTGCGGGTCAGATCTCCGGGTTTGGTCGGATCTGGTGGGCGGGACTTGTCCCTTCGGCCTTCTGCGAGGCCCTGTGCACTACGAGGCCTCTCAAGCCTTGCGCTTGGAGCTGGTCGAGGTGCTTCCCAATGGGCACTGGAAGACCTGGGAGCTGCTTGGCACAGAAAGCCTGCAAGCCAACCAGTCCTTGGAGAAGCAAAACGCTGTGTTACATCCCCTCCAATCATGGAAGTGGATGGCACCCTCTACAGACCGTGCCGTCCGGTGTTCGGACCCCAGAGACGAGGTGCCGAGACCAAGCCGACTGCCGGTGTTCTGTTTGGACCATGACAGACGATGTCCGAAGCAGGACGAGGATGCTTCTCGTGGTGCAGATGATCCCGTTTGCTTGTATTAAGACTCAAGTAAGAGTCAATGCTCCCAAAGGAACATCACTTCATATATATATAAATTAATCAAGAAACCTGAGCAGAGATTACGAGCAGAGCGGATCCTTAGGGTGAACATAGTAGAAGCCCAAGCCGTGCCTGGTCGGCGGTCTTCCGTGGATGCCAAATGACCTGCAAAACAGGGTGAACATTGATGTTCAGAATTTTCAATGAATAAGATGAATTACTCTCTACATGTTCTTTGTCCTGTGTTCTTCTACAGTACCTTCTTTTTTGCAAGGACATCATTCTCTTAAAGCCTGGGTTCACTATGTTTGGCGGGATGCACATCTCTCGGGAACACTGCTTGGTAGTTGCTACGGTTGATTACATATAATCCTTTAAATATACATTTCATAATTTGCCCAGAATCCTAGCCTAGAATTAGGGTGTAGTCCGTTACCAGTAGCAGCCAGTAAAGGACGGATTATAACTTATAACTATTTTTGAGAAAGGCCTTGACTAATAATAATAATAATAATCATCATCATCATCATCATCCACTGTTACTGGTGATGGAATATACCCAACCTGGACGTCTACTTCTATCTAATTTGAGTTTTCTTGCCTGGTCAAAGGGACACTTCTGCCTTGGCCAGTTACCTTCCTTCGATCGTACTCGTCCCTCACCACTCAGGACCAATCGCGCTCACGATCACATTTTCACCACTTGGGGTCAAGACGGCCCCAAACGATAAGCTGTGCAAAAGAGGATGCATTGCATCGTACCCTGTGATTCCGAGAGATTGAGACAGGTCGAACAGAAAAGATTGCACTTAACTGGAATGAATTGTTTGGGTGTATGAGCTTCTCCTGTCGTTTCTTTGTGTTTGCTTTATGTTGGGTGCGATTGGTCCTACGTACTGCAAAGAGAAGATCAGAATGTTGCACCACAACTACGTCTTTTTCCTCCCAGATCTGAAAAGCTGGGACCTCTGTCTTTCGACCTCGGTTTTCCGCTTCCAACCTCGTCTGACCTCGCAGGTGGATGCCCAGTTGGGCCCCAAAAGCAGCTCCGAGCCCAAGTGCGCCGCGTCCTCGGTGGGGAGAAACCGGATCCGTTGGGTTGGGCGGGTGAGCGGGTGAGCTAGCGCGCATGCGGCTGTGTTTGTTCGCTCTGAGCTTCTTGCGCCTGAGTGGGGCAAGAAAAGAGTACTTTTTTTTCAGTAAGCGAACGAGTGGTCCAATTCTGGGCGGAAAAAGGCGGAAACTTTGATCAAAGCAACGAATCTCAGAGTTAGGCAGTTGGTTTGGGTCGTCCCACCAGGATCGGGTTGACTGACCTGGGAGGTGAACCTACCAGTGGTTAGGGTCTCTCGCTCTCTCTCTCTCTCTCCGGGTTTTTGACCCAGAGCCACATACTGTATGTTTTGATGGCGCCAACGTCTCGACGCCTCGACGCCTCGTCGGTCCAGGACTTCATCATTGACTTGCACAACACCACGGCCGCCACGGGCGTGGCGTTGCTGATGGCACCGAACGATGAGTTTCTGGGAGAAACGATGGGAGACGGACGGGGGGACTGGGGGACGGACGGGTTGCCATCCATGTGGTAGTGGCCTTTTGATCGGGTAGTTGTTGGAGGAGCCTTAGGGCTGTGACATTGTGATTGTAAGAGCTTGTGTTTCCCAGAAGGGAGGTAATGATGTTCGTTCATGAATTTGTTGCTGTTGGGGAGGGGTTTGGGAGGCATCATATTCCTGATTTATTCGTTTGGGCAGAACAAGCAGCTACCTAGAGAATCAAAAGCAAACATTTATGTTATATATATAGGAACAAGGAATAACAACAAATATAACTGTGATATATGTATTTATATTTATAAATGTGTCTAAAGTTTATTCTTTTTGACAAAGAACCAAAGAACCAATATAAAAGTTGTTTGGATCAACATGTATTTTTCTTCCAACGCCTAGAGCATACTACGTAGGTCTACGTAGAGAAAGTACAATTTTTGGGGTTGGGTCAGTTTTTTCATTAACCTCCTTTTACTTGCGTCGTTTTCCACCCACGGAAACTACATGGGGGTGACTCTAGGGAATGAGTTCTTTGAGTGCAAAGGCAGGCAGAGTTTGTGGTGCCAGTTCGGGCTTGTCTCAAAGTTGAAACAAGTTGAATGGACGGGAAAGGTCGAAATCAATTGCAGCTGCCGATCAGTCTGGGCCAATCAGATCAGCTGGTTGACCAGAATTTCTGAATGATGTTCTTTTCCAGCTGCGTATCCAGGGCAACATGTTTGCTTTGGTCTTTGGCTGCAAGGCAACCGACATGGGCGAATGCCACCATGTCTCACAGGATGTTGGAATGGGCCTATTCCAGCTTCAGCAGAGTGAACACCAGGTACCTGCCTGACTCAGGTACCTAGATGGCCATAGAGTGGACGTGTCCCAGTTCGTTGTGTCCAACCATTTGGTACCGACCCCCACCCTCCAAACGACGACGCGACGCACGGTCCACAGTGAAACTTGGAGGACTCTCGTTTTCCGGGCATCACTGGCAATCCGGAATCCGGTTGTGACTGACATGGAGTCCGCAAGTCGCGCTAGTGTTAGTTGGCCATCCCAGATATTCCCAGATGCTTTGAAGTCTGAGAGGGGTACACACGCTCTGTGTGTTCATGTCCGTAAGTGCTTTGGATGCAAAGGTCTACTTGTGAATTTGAATTCTGGATAAGCTTGTGATGGTAAACCTTAGCAGCCTGCTAATTGTGGACAAGATTGGTTGGCATGATGCTCTAGCTCCCCCCTAAGCACGAGGGTGGTGAATAGCAATCTTCGCAGCAGGGGCTTGTCATGCCACTTCTTGTGTCAGCATGACAAAGGCCGCTTTGGCGTGTGAGAACTGCTGCCATTTGGTTCTCCTATGTTCTCCTGTGAGCACTGGTTCGATTCGTTTGGTCGCTTGCAGATCTTGTGGAGGTCAAGGCCACGTTTCGCCCATGCCCTGCATTACACTATGACACTAATTTGGATGACCAAAAACTCCCGTTTGTAAGGGAAAGCCACGCTATCCACTTCGGGACCATGCCATCCACTTCCATATGTGATGTGTGGAGCGTTGGACTTTGACGTCTTTGGCCAGTGCCGTCCTGTCGGACAGTGCCGTTGATGCAGTGCTCTCTCTCTCTCTCTCTGTGCTCCTGGCTGCATTTGAGACATATATGTGGTGATGACAGTGGAGGTGGAACCATTTAATTTATACATTAACTCCACAAAAATGGAAACACCTATTGGTGCGTGCGCGTGTGAACACCTTGGATTGAGAGGCCACTTTTTGGTGTTCTTGATTTCTTGTATTTAGCAGGGGGCATGGCTGGCAGCTGTTTCCCTAGCCACGCTAACGAAGCTTTGGGATTCAGCCGGAAGGGAATGTGGATGAACATTCCTGTACCTGCAGCGTTTCGACCTTTCATTTCCTCCTGGATCCCGTCTGTTACTAGAACACGCTGACCAGCCACTCACTGCAGTCACGCATCTTGTGACCTTCTAGCTTTGTGACTTGGCACTTCTGTAGCTTAAGGCTTCTGAATTTTGAGACCTGGACCTCTTGGAGCTTTGGCATTAATCCCGAGTACCTATTAATAAACACTCCCCAATTAAAAAAACCCCACGTCCGAACCCCTAAATTCGGTTTATATTTGGTTTTAAATTGCCGCCCTTTCAAACCGCTACTAAACTACCAACATGGTCGAATTTGGGGGTAGTTTTTTTTATTAGGTTCCCCAAAAACAACCGTAACTGCCCACCTCTGTCCGCCCTGTCTATCCACCATGACACGCCGCGCTTACACCAGCAGGCTTTCCTTCCCCCAATGGCACGGACTCACGCAAACGCACTTGCCACCGAGGTCATGCAACACCGCATGGCACAGCGACATCACCTTTCGAAAGCTTTAGCTGTTAGTCTACCGAAGAATAACTATTCTAATGAAGGTTTTTGTAGGGGAAAAGGAAGACCCTTCGATCTGGAGCTTTTTTGCATTTTTGATACGAGTTTAATAAAGGATTTTATATAAAACTTTACGGATTTACTTTTTGGTTTTGAAGCTCTTCCCAGGTGACCCTATTTTGGACCCCCCGATTTCAGGGACCCCCTATTAAAAAAAATGCGACCGAGGTTTTTTTAATAGGGGGGGAGGGGGGGGGGGGCGTGTTTATTATTAGGGGGACGGGATTAAGATCTTTGGTGTCATTAAGATGGCCAGACCACCTTATATACAGGTCCCCCTACGTCCACCAAATGCAATTTGGGGACCCCACGTCCATGCCGCTTAAGGGTGGGCACATGCCTTCACGTTTGACCCTTACGAGCGGTGTGTGTGTGTGTGTGCCACACTCTGCCTCTAACAGTTCCAGCTTTTTCATGTAGCAGGGGGACACAGCATTTCACTGGCACAGTGTCCCATGAAGCTACCAGTGAAGTGGGATATCCAGCTTGGCCAGCTGGACGTACCTGCATCAAATTTGAACATGCTTTAGCATTCTTGAAATGAGTCTACGTAGTGCTCAAGCTGTCCAATTCGGTGTTCTGCCAGTAACTAGAATGTAAAGGGCTAGTGCATTCGTGGAGGTCGTTGACGCAAAACATTTTCAATCTGTTGTTCTCGGCCATTTATGAGGTCTGTCAGGTCGTTTCTGCAGTAACTAGTGGATTCGTGAAACTCTACTATAAGGCCATAACTGTCTCCTTGTTTGTTTTGCAGTAAGCGTCTAGTGCAGTAAAGGTCTAATGCATCAGTGAGCCACCTTGTGAAATTCATGCTCATTCAGTTGAGCTATACAAAAAATCTAAGATTATCTATATAAGTGTGATCACCTTGGAATCAGAGGTCACTTTAGCAGGGAGCATGGCAACTGTCCCCCTAGCCAGGCCAACGAAGCTTTGGGATGCAGCCGGAACGGAATGTGGACGCACATTCCTGTACCTGCAACGTTTTCATTTCTTCCCCAGTCCCGTTTGCTATTACAACAAGCTGACCAGCCAGTGCATCCGTTCCATCATTGCAGTCATGCATCTTGTGACCTTTGTGTTTTGTGACTCGGCACTTCTGTGCCTTAAGACTTCTGATCTTTGCACGGTGAGGTGGCCAGAGCACCTTACATGCTACCTGTTTTACCCAGATAATTTTTTCGTTTTGTTTTTTCCAGGGCTGGGGGTGATCAGTCCCGCATGCATTTCCTGAGTGTGTGTCTGTGTGTGTGCGCATAACTACAGTAGATTTTTCTACGCAACGGCTTTGTTTGCCTAGAAACCTTCCCCAAACAAGAGAAACTGTAGTGCGTTGAAATGTACTTTTGAGACACATGCGTTTCTATGTTCGGGGTTGTGTCACCATCCAGAACCATAGACAGGAACACACACACACACATATATATATATATGTACAAATTGCGTTTTTCTACGCGACGCGAATGTCTTTTTGTGGCACCCAATCCGATTGCCCAACTAAGGTTTGCCCATGAGGTTGCCCACCACTTGATGTCTTTGGATGAGACCGTCAGGGTCGCCGGGGGCATCTGGTGGGACATGGTCTCTGGGCTGGGCTACAGAGAATTTTCAGAACACCATAGGCCCATAGGTATCCCAGGTTTGTCCTAGTTCAGGTCACTTAACTTCTGTTGGTGGTTGATTGCTCTCGAAGTGTTTGCTAAGGTTTTTTGGAACATTTCCCGACCTGGAAAATATGTGGATGGTTCGGGAAAAGCTTGGACTGGGGGATTGGGGAAATTGGGAGCACCCCATGTTTCACAAAAACATGAGAAGGTTCCTTTATTGTCAGTTTGTTTGTGTCACACATGAGGCCATGCTGGTGTATGAAGAAACGGTCCATTGAAACAACGGAGGTCAAACAAGTGCGATCTAGTTTCACAGAGGGAGTGAAGGTGGGCAAGACAACCGTCCGTTGGACGCTGTGTGACGGTTTGTTTCGACCGACAATGGTTGTGCCTGTTGGTGGGGGGTGGATCGCTCGTATGGACCTAAAATGGTATACATTGGGTCTGTCCGATTACCGCTAGGGATCCAAGTATCTTCTCAGAAGGTACTTGGACCCTCCAAATATACATAACAGTGTCACCTTCTGGGAAGGTACTTAGATCCCCAGGGTACCTGTAACAGTCGGCAAATAGTTTTCACATGTTTTCACTATTTCAGAGAAAGGCCTTCACTAACCATCATCATCCACTGGTAATAGGCTAGACCGATAGACCCAAGGTATACAATATACATAGGATGTTGTTAGCATGGTATTGGTATCGCTTTTGTGGGAGAACTGGAACCTTACTACTCAGTGTGTTCGCACTCCACCTTACTACTTTTCACATTAAACCCTTCCAAGTCTCCAAATCACCTAAAGAGTGCTTTCAACTGGAGTTTTGTTTGTTCTTTCGGGCAACCCAAGGGATAACAAAAACAAGATCAATCATTTTTTGGTGCTGCTTCCGTACCCACCAAAGATGTGCTTGCTTTCGGTTGTTGTTTGTGTTTGTGACTACATGAGACATCGTCTCAGATTCTGAGCACTCATAATTGAAAAGGACGGGAACATCCAGTTCCAACTTAATACAGCGGCTACAGGACGAATCTAACTTATGTTGGTTGACTTTCAAAGCGCACATGTTTCTGTCTAACATTCATGTACACACTCTTGGTCAGAGCTTGTCCCTCACTACACTACACGTCCTTCCCACGCTGCCTACACAACAACTCCACAGCGCGTCTGGGTCAGGTGGTGGAATGGAACGATCAGGCGGATTGGCCCCTGTGCCCCTCGATTGGCCGCAGTGGCCTCACCTTTGAGGCTGGTCGTGCGTTCGGGGCCTCGTTCCGGGTCGTTCGGCACCAGAGAAGTCGTGGACCTCCGACTTGCCTCCAGCGAGTCGACGTTGTGTGACCTTCCCGGAAGGTATATACTGAGAGGGATTGATAGGGATATATGGGTTTTGCAGGGTCCCAAACGACCTTCTCAGGAGGTAGTTGGAACATGTTGGATCATGATCGGGATCCTTTCGGAAAGGAAACGAGTCTTCGAGGTGCAACATGAATCCAGGGGAAACTGAGGGAGTAAGACAATCTAGTTCTGCTGCAACGGTTCCAAGTTCTGAGTTCGGACTTCGACTTCAGCTCGGAACTCGGCTGTTAGGGCGGGAGCTCTGCAAGATCGGAATTCGTGGCATTCCCTCTGGGGGGGCTTCTGGGCGCAAGGCATTGCAAGGCTGTATTTATCCCCCTCCCCTTGATTTAGAAATCAGGGGAGGGGGGGTAACCTTTAGGAATGTCATTTCCGGTGTCTTTTTTCCTTTGTTTTTTCACGGTTCTGGTTGCTTTGGGATGACGCAACTGAATCTAATTGTCGGGGGGGTTCACTAAGGAATCTAATTGTGGGGAGGTTTTACTAAAGAATCTAATTGTCGGGAGGTATTACTAAAGAATCTAATTGTCGGGAGCCAGGAAGTCTAGATTTGCATGGTAATTTTTGATTATGGAAAAAATCGCCTCGACTAAATCCGGAGGATTTAAGGCAAGCTGTTTTTTCTCAAGTCGAGCCTTGCCGCCTCGAGATTTTTCAGCCCGCCTCGACTAAATCCGGAGGATTTAGTCAAGTTTCAAGGCAAATAGTTTCTATCAACATGGTCTTCAAGGCAAAAACCAGCGCAGCGGCCTTGATTGGACACTCAAACGAACCTCAAACGTACTAGGGGCCGACCTGTCCAACATCTCACGCGCACCTCAATGCACTGGTCATGCAAGGAAATTGTCACTTTAGCGCATCTGCCCTTGGCTTAGTTCATGATCGACTGAACTTGAACCCCGGGTTCATGGACTGTCGGTCTTTACGAAACCACGGATGGAAGAAGCGATGCAGTTCTCGATCGGGGACATCGGCATGCAAGAAAGTTTCCTTTTAGAGGGGGTAAACCATCCAAAAGAAGTTGACCCCCCCCCTAAGCACTGGTGGGTGTTTTGACCTATTGGAGAGCCACTTTCGATACCTATTTGTTGTAACCGGAGGCCACTCGGTGCTGCTCGATATACTAACGGTCACAAAAATGAGACATGTTGTGCAGCAGAGGTGCTCAAGACAACTCTTCAAACAATTTTGGAGATGTTGGAACGGAAGAAGTGCATAGCATTTGATGGGAAGAAGTGCTGCCTGATACAACGGTGACGACTGCAGCTGTATGCAGTGTGGGGACATTGTATCTTCCCTAAAGAACCGGACGATAGCAGTTGACTGCTCTTTGCTATGCATTTGCTATGCCATTTGGTAGTGTCGGAATTTGAATATAGCAATGGCATGTGCTCCACAGCGTGCTGATTCTCAGCGTGCCAATGTGCTCCAAGCGTTGCCTGATTCTCAGCCCTTCTTTGATGAGATGTCATGAGAAGAGGGCGATGTCGGATCGCATGCGCAGTCGCCAGCCAAGCCATACGCAGTCGCGCTGCCAGCTCTTTTTGCAGAGCTCTGTGGAAGGTTCATGGGTTCTTTTTCCACCCTGTAGAGGGTGTCAGGGATGAAAACATACTTTCATGTTGTTTCGTGTGTGTGTTGTTTTCTTGTGAATTCAAACGAACTGCCGTGGAAGTTCAGGTAGTTTAACATACGTGGAAATTAAACTACCTACTACAGATTACTACAGTATATATATATATAGATCTTTTGGCGAAACCTTTGCTTCCTATTCCTGCACATACTAGATTCCATTTATTGAAATGCGATTTGTTTCAGCTTTGTTGGTGGTTGATTCAATGCTTCCGTCGACGTTTGCAAGGTTTGTTCTGTGGTGGTCCAATTAGTAGGACAAAACAGAACATTTGATCAAATTTGTGTGTGTGGGTTCTGAACAAAACATCCAACACTAGCGCTGGGTTTCTCAACCAGATGCTCCTCATCCAGTCGAACTGATCCTGACATGGCCTCACAATTTTGGCAGCCACCCAGAGCTCACTCCGTGGATCTCCGTGGTCAATCCGTGGTTCCCCCAGGAAACATCCCAGCGTGTGCCCCGGTCGTGCGCAGGTGGGCCCGTGCCCTTGGGGATGTTTAGAACCAGAGCTCTTCCAGCAATCTCGCAGGCCGGCTACCCGCGGCGCCAGGGGGGGGCCTTGGAGTGGGAGTTGGAAGTGGAACATGGTCCCATCGTCTTATTGGATCTTATTGGAGGTACTGTAACTGATTGTGTTTGTTTTAATTGTGTGTTTCATTCCTTTGGTGAAAGCTCAGGTTGAAAGTCAAGCGTCCAGAACCATCAACTAGTAGTGGTTCCTGACCACATCGGCGCATGTGTCCCAAGTGAAAACTAAGACCACTTGGCAAGGGATCCAGGTGGCCTTTGGTGGGAGGGACCAAGTGTGTGGATTGCAGATGCTCATTGAGCAGGCCAGAAGGGGACATTGCACTTGCGAGGAGGCCAGACACGACATCACTCGGCATCACTGAACCATCAGAACCACTTTCTATCACTTTCTCATGTGACATACGACATGTTTTATGTATTTTCATGCGTTGCCTATTTGGGAGCTTCGCTTTCCCGGTTCGACGCTTCGCTCTCCGTTTGCGAGTTGACACGAGTTCGCCGGGACGGCCCGGGACCGTTGTCAGCCAGCGACATTGGAGTGTTTGCCCCGCCATCCAGCGATGTGTGATGAATTGGTGGGTGAAGAATGGTGAAGATGGAAGGGCGGTGAGGCTCGCTTCGGAGTGAAAAAGACACCTCTCCGGGTTTGGGGTATGGTAATATTTTCTTTGCACATCCCTTTTGGAAAAAGAAGATAACGAAGAACGTCAACCCCTTGGGGTGACAAATCGTTGCAATCGGAGCGTGGAAGATTCTGATTTCCCACCCCTCTCTCTGGAGATCGGAGGAATTGTCCGCTGCGGGTGAGAGCAACCCGCGGTTCAGGCTGGTGATGGCCTTGCTTGATTACGTCGAGAAGCACAACAGCTTGGTCGCCTCCGGGTCCCCCACACGCCAGGAGGCTGGTGTGGTGGTGCAGGTCGATGTGGGAACGCGTCCTGGTCAAGATGCTTGGAACCAGACCCGTGGTGCCTCTAGTAAATACGATGGTGTCTTGCATGTTTTTGCAATCACTTTTTGGATCCATGTTCAATCAACATGATCCTATTCAACTCGAATGCTATTGGCTCTCAATTGCTGAGTCTTCCCATGTTCATGTTCTCCTCATGTCCCTTTTTCTCCACATCTCCCACTCAGTTGCCATTGGATCATCCGTGGTCGTCACATGGCAGGTGTCCATGAAGGTCTTCCGCTCCATCGGTGTCTCCATCGACTACCCGCGCGCCGGCGAGGACCCCGTGGGCCACGCGCCTGGGGCGTCCACCGGGCGGGCGGCGTGTTTCTGTCGGCGGGAAGGTGGCGGCGTCCGGTTTTTCCCGGCGTCGGCGTGGTGGTTCTGCAAGGCTGAATGCCTGGGGGGGGATGGGATTTGAAGGCCGATTTGCGGCGTAGAACAGCCTTGACAAGTCTTGCTGGACCCTTGGACCTGTAATGTAGGCAGCGTGGGTGGCTTTATAGTTCTGATTTTGGAAGCAGCCAAGCAGGATTTAGATATACTCCTGCAGTAGATAGAAATAGAATGACAGAATGAAATAGATAGAATGTTGGGAAATCAAAAAACACGAGGAAAGGGGTCATGTTTTTGGATGGGTTCATATTCTATTTATATACAAGCAATTCTGATTGCAACCAGGTGTTTTCTAATTGAGAACCAGGTGTTTGGTTTCTCCGCAGCCATTTGAACTGTGAGCTGGCAAAATGCCAAAGTTGTGGCGCTGTAGATCAGATGGTAGCATTAGCTACGATGATGATGAATCTGATATAGAGTAAGGGCCTCAAAGTGATGTGATTTGCAAAAAAATAGGAAACGGTTGTTTGAGATTCTTGAGGATGATGAAGCACACCCAGCTCACCAAGAGCCAAGTTGCAACACTGGAGTTTGGTTCCAGCTTTGCTGAAGCGACAGGTTTGCAACTTAGCTCTGGGTAGTGGTTTGTTCCATCAGTGTGTACCTCCCGCTTGACCGACAGGCCTCGCAGAGATCCTGAAACCCTTGAGAACCCCTTTGGGAGTCATGACAGATTGCCTCCCACTCAGAACAATTGTGACGGTTCTGAAGTTTGCAGCTTGAACCTCTCTCACAAGGCTCGGGTGCAGAGGCGCCAGTTCTGGCATTGGACATGTTATTTCGTGGTGCAGGATGCCTCGACTTGTTTCGGCATGTGCTCTTTTGTGGCATTATGGGTGGTCAAATTGAAAAAGGTCTATATGGTTTTGAGTATTCTTGGTTGCGACGAGGTCTGCATGCGACAATGGCCAAGGGCCACGGAAGTTTTTTGCCCAAAACTTTCCACACGTACCGCCTACGTCTCAGCCGACGCTTTGCATTATGTCTAGTGGTATTCTTCCTGTGCTGAGGCTGCAGGACGATCTTTTCTACAGGGAGACCACCCACCTGAAGGGAAACGTGCGCTGAAGAGGGGTCCATTTGTATCATTTGTCAAAGAGCATCTTGAACACAATGGGCCCTCAGGTACATGTATACTGCGCTGGTTTCCCTTGCAAGGCCTTTTCAGCCTTGAGGACCCACAGTGACTGGCTCAATGATAGCCAAGCAAAGCAGTTCTGGGCTGTACGTGACACGATTCAAGAACTACAGCCTCTAGTGCCTCTTCCCTGTTTGATCTTGTTTGCTTGAAGATGTGCTTCGTTTGTTCCTCCCAGGGTTACACAAATTTTCTTGCCATGCCAGTTCGCGATTCTGGAGAATGTACTTGGACTATTGAAGGTCATTGATGAGGTCAAAGAGGCATTGACAGAATGCGGTGATTACGAAATGACACTGCAAGAACTAGATCCGACCCATGGCTATGCGTTGGCTGTTTCTGGTGATTCCTAAGGTTTTTTGTCCAAAATTGTGTGCCCAAGGATGGCCCTGGGTGTCAATGTCACCCGCCGCCGGCTCTACTTCGTCATGGTTCGCCGAGATGTTCTGGGAGTTTCAAATTTGGATGGTTGTGCTGCTTCTGTCTTGGAAGCCCTGACAACCAACACAATGACAGTACCATGGCCAGATCCTCAATTCACCTTGTTGCCCTATGTTGTTTTTAGGTGCCTACTGCTAGAAAGCCTAGGACAGATTTTCTTTTGCCTGACGGTTCTGAAGATGTGAAAAACATCAAAGCCAGGTGGAAGGCCAGATGTCTAGTTAGAACGAATGGTTCATATGCTCTAAATGGTGGGCAGGCCAAAGCCAAGAAGATGGAGTCCAAGAAGATCAAAAAGTATGACATTCAGAGAAGGTGACATATATACAGTTATGTTTTTTGAAATGTTTTTGCCATCACATAAGCAAGCGTTCATGTTCTTGCAGGCCCACAAAAACACAACCAAAGTGGCGCCACTACCATTGGGATTTCATCAAGCAACATGAGGCTCCATTCCGAGTCTCTCTACCGCAGTTTGTTTTGTTGTCTTGCCAGGTGGACCTTGACAAAGCCCGGAAAAGGCAGATTGGTTATGGCACATCGCTTGGACTGTCTGACCGCTGCGAGCAGGCGTTGACAATCTACAATATACAAAAACGTATGCATACATACCCACGTTATTCTCAAGCCTTGCCAGGCATTGGCACTTTTGTCCGTTCAGAACACCAAATGGGTCATGGCTGATGTTAGCCAAAACCTTGGGCGCATGCCAACACTCTCTAGCTTCAACCAGCCCTTTCCATGTGTGACGCCTTGCGCTCAGCTGTGCAAGCGCTGCACACCTATAGTACGTCAGGGTTTGACAGCTTACCAATTTCTAGGCCAAAGGGTTGCTATTGGCTCCGGCACGCCAAGCGAGCGCTTTCAGGCCCCTTTTATTCCAACCAAAGCAGTGTGAGAAAATATCACTAGATGTGAAACTGTTGTGTTCAAGGCGTCGAGAAGATGCTGCTACAGGGCTTTCCTGTCCATAGAGTGCAGTTCGAAAGCCTCACTGAGCAGGACCAACGATTATTAGATTGGATCTAAGGTACTTTGAGAACAGTCTGTTTTTATCTGTTTTTTTCGTTGCCAGGAGGTGAATGACCTAGCTGGCAACTCCATGCATCTGCGATGCATCGCTGCAGCCTGGCTGATCGCATTGAAGGTGCTCAGCAAACAGCTCGCACAGTCTTTTCCCGTGAACTACCCCGCAGGCTTGCGACATGCGGAAAGTCAACAAGTTCTGCAAACAGATTTCTTAGGCCAGGGAAAAAGCTGGATGCTTATTCCTTAGATATCATCTGTGCTACAATGGAAGGAGAGGTCCTCATTGCTTGTCTACATGCCAGAAAGCTAGTCAGCCTAAATCACTTTGTTGCTGTTACTCACAAGCCCTGCGCACCAGCCAGGCAATTCAGAGCGCATGGCATTGCGCAATGTCCGAAGCCAATCTGAAAGACTGGTAGCTCAGTCATCGTCCACCAACCGTGATATGAGGCATTTTCTTTGTGGGAGACATCAACTGAAGGGTATCACCTACCTGTGTTGTGAAAAGTCAGTACACTTCTGTCAAATTTTATATGTATACACTTAAGCTTCCATTGAGATTAAATTTGCTGCTTGCATTACTCTCGCATTGGCTCCCAGTCTCGGTCTCAGTTCATCAAGCACTGACTCACCACCCATTGTTGGCCTAAGCCATGGATGGGCCGGTGAAGAAAGAAGAGATCAAGAATGAGGGGCTCAAAGTAGAGGGGGAAGAGGAATCAAAATCAGCTACTGCCAGGGACATTGTTTGGACAGCCTTTCAGAGAGCGACCCTCTTGAGTTTAGCTAAACTTGTTTTCGTATCAGTACTGTCTAGTTGCTCAGGGTTTGCAACTCACAAGCCGCATGCTTGTCTCAGGTGACCCAAGAAGAAAACCTTGGAGACTGGATGGCCAAGAGGTACCCGGAGCCAAGGGCCTTCGAAGCGGTTATCGATCGGATTGTGTTTGAAAGGCCTGGTGCACGTGATGATTTGCCATCAGTGGTGTCCATAACCCCCAGTACAAAAGTCAATGAACTATATGTGGGGATTCACCAGCTGGATTTCAGCAAGAATGCCAAAAGTGGGTGTCACTAGGCAACTAAACAAGCTTTGTACTCTTCTTCTTAGAGTAATTGAAATGTTTTTTTGTTGGACTGCTTTGTTCGGCTCAACATGTCGGCCATGCACTAAGACTTTCCGCACATGGCCTCCTTGACAATGGCGATGAAAAATATCATCTACACCAACTTCGATCCTTTCAGGGAGCCGCTTCAGGTCCAATTCGCTGAGAATCCAACGCGTGCAGTGGAGAACTTCAGCGTTGGATACCTTGATGGCTTCACCAAGGGGTTGTGTTGCCAGGGAATTGTTGCTTTGCTAGACTCACTGGACTCTCAGCTCCTTTGGCCACCCTACCTTTTTGCATGAGGTTAAAAATCCACATATATATTATATATAATATATATTATACTAAAATAGCATACAAATATATATAGCTAGCCTCTATCTATCTTCTGACATGTCAGGAATGGCCACAGGAGGATCTTGACTCGGACGATCTTTGCCCTTTGATCTTATCCCTGCGCTATTTCAGAGCGCAGTACCGTCACCAAGACAACCCATCGGAGTTCATCTATGATTCCCTACGTTAGGCACTCAATGTTGACAGTACCTATTCACACCTCAACCCATTCGACCCATCTTTGCTTGAGGTTTGGGCCAAGAGACTGCCGAGAAACAGGCGCCCAGTGCCTTAGAGTTCTTGGGCCAATTTCGCAAAGCCATAGAGCTTATGAAGAAGAACTCCGGAAGACAAGTGCCCCTAGCACAGTGTCTGGGAGCTTGCATAGCAGACTACAACCGCAACACCATTCACAGAAAGTTCAAGGTGGATTCATGGAAGAGAAAAATCATACACAACCTTTTGAAGAGTCCTGCTGAGATGGTCGACCTGCTGGCGGCCCACTACGACGATCACCGTCACACCAGCTCAGGCCAGGCAGCCCCAAAGTTACTTAAACAAGCATCATCAGAGTTTGCTTCTAGATGTACTCTTCCTTACTTTTTGAGCACTGCTGTCAGAAACCACCTCCACTATGCAGCTGTATTTTCCCCAATGAGCACATGCAGGCATTGCCACATCCATGTTTTTCTTTCACGTTCAAGTTCAAGACTACTCAGGATAATATAGGAAGACTACTATATAGGTAGAAAGAAAAGCCAGTTTTTATCTTGGACAATATTGCCTCCCGACCCTCTTGGAATATCCAACAGTTTTATCGACCAGCTCTGTCCCATGGGGAAGTGG